CCAAGATGCATTCTATAAAGGTACAATTCCCAGTGAGAAATGTAATTGTGTTGTATACCTACAATGTACCAATAAAATAATTTAATACAAAAAAATTTTTTTAAAAATAAAGCCCTATCCATCACCCCAGACCCCTTATCAATGCCCCTTGCCATCAGGACGCAGATACAGAAAAGAGACCTTGATCCTATTTCATAATAATGAGTCTGGGATGATAGAGTTCTCTGCTAGATAAAATGGCTCTGGCAGCCCCACATCCTAAATGGCTTTTCCTGGAAGATAATAAATCACTCAGGAAAACAATAACCTAACTTTCCCACCATGAAGGTCTCCTGCTTATAGTTCTTCCCACTGAGAAATTCAAACTTGCCAATGGATTTAAACCTCCCCTCTGGCTGCAGCCACACATCTACCTCCATTATGTCTCCACCACTACCCCATGCCCCTTGCCCATATAAAACCTCGCCTTGCCAGCCCCTGGCCACTGCTCTGGCCATTGTTGAAGACAGCCCGGCACCCAGTCCCTCAGTAAAGGACTACCCTTGGGTGTTCATGCTTTCAGCTCATTCTCATCCCAGCTGACTCATATGGTACGTCAAGTTTTAAATTTTTGAGAGATCTCCATGCTATTTTTCCACAGTGACTACATCATTTTATATCCCACCAACAGTACACAAATGTTTCAATTTTTCCATATCCTCACCAACATTTGCTATTTTCTGATAGTGGTCATCCTAAGAGATATGCAGTAATATGTCATCATAGTTCTCATTTTCTTTCTCTAACAGTGAGGTTGAAAATCTTTCTTATGCTGGCTGCCTCTTATATTTTCTTTGGAGAAAAACTGAGTTTTTGCTCACTTTTAATTGGAATTGGGAAAATATTTGTCTGTTATGTAATGGAATCTCTTGTGCAGTTCCTTAGCCATTAGGACAATTTTAAAAAATATTTCTAAATGTTGGAATCAACCACTTGCTAGTAAAAGTGGTGAAGAGTCTAAATATCCTATCAAAGTTATCTTTGGAACAAAATAAAGCCTCACAGATAAAAATAACTGGGAAGAAGTGCTGGGGAGTTAGTTAATGGCACTGCAGCTGCCTTGCAAGTGCAAGATCCTGAGTTCAATCCCCGGGACCAAAAAAAAAAACCAAAAACAAAAAACAAAAATGGAAGGTCACAGACATTGAGAGTAGATTGTGAATGATCATGGAATGTGGAACTTGGGGTTGGAGCTGGGTTATTCAGGTTTATAAATGGCAGAAATCTCATCCACAGATTGCTTTGGATTATACTTGGGTTCTGTCTGCCAGATTGAGATACTAGCTATTATTGTCAGATTAGATACTAGCTATTAGTTAGGGTGAACTGTGAAATGGAAGCCATACTTTCATTGAGATCTTTTCACCTGGGTCTTGTGAATTATGTGGGAGGAGCAAGGATAAGCAGGGCTCATTGATATGAATTGCTCACAGTAGTTCCCCTTTATCTGAAGGAGATGTGTTCCAAGACCCCCAGTGGATTCCTGAAATAATATATAGTTCTATAACCCTGTATGTGCTATGTTTTTCCACATATATATATGTATACATATATGTATACATATATATACATATATATATATATAAAAGAATGAATGGGGAAAAATAAGAACCAAGATGCATTATGTAAAGGTACAATTCCCAATGAGAAATGTAATTGTGTTGTATAC